ACAGCCAACAGCGGCGTACCAACTTGTTTTTGAGTAGGAGGCAAACGAGACAACCCCCCCCCCCCCCTCTCCCCACCCCAGGACCGGGGGGCGGTGCCCTTGGTACCCCTTGGGCGCCGCCGGACAGTGAGTGCTTGCCCTGCCCAGTGGCGCCTGTTTCGGAGGGGGGGGGGGGGGGGGGGGCAAAACACATGCCTTGCCCCCCCCCCCCCCCTTCCCCGGTTGGAACGGCCATGACAGCCAATCACGGCGAGCGAAATGAAGCTCACAGCCAATGACGTCGCTCAGATTAAGGTTGGACCCGAGAAGTGCCTCTCCGCGTTTTGCAAGAAAACAAACTAACATACTTTTTATTATTCTTCTTATTATTATTTATCAATACTACTAATCCTCATTGGAGGATTTTTGTAGAATGGTACGAAACACAGATGCATATAACCATAGTGCAAAAAAAAAACAGTTATACAGAGGGTAAAAATACATGAAACAAACGGAGTGGATGAGACTTGGTATTTTCACATCATGAGCGCTTCGACATCATTCATGAACTGTGTTAGCGAGCTAGCGCTGGCGACGTGTCCGGGCAAAAGGTTCTATTCCTGGACTGCTAGCGGAAAAAAGTTAAAATTTAAAGGAATTATTTTTAGGTTGGAACTCTCTGAATAATTTTCCATGGTTTGAACGGGTTTCTCTTCAATCATGGGGAATAGACTGTAAATGCGTAATTAAAGAGTAATGCACCCAATTGTTTATTTGGTGAAACGAATAATTTAGTAAGTGAGTTTCAAAAGGTCCTCTTTACGTTTGACCCCGCACCATTAGAGTAGTCTTTAAAGCGATACTGTAATTCTTGGCTCTTCGTTCGCAGGAACACTAAAACTAAATTGGGAAGGGCCATACGCAAAGCCTCGAATTTTGGTAATGCATATAATGGAAAGAAAAAACGAGGCGGAGTCGCGAAGTACTAAGCTGCAAGTGCTAACAAAAAAAGGAAAAAGAAAGAAAGAAACAATTTTAAATTGTTTCTCAACAACGTAAGCGCACAGCTTTTGCAGCGGCGAAGACCCGAAACATGGTTTTCAAACCCTACGAGAAAAGAATTGGGGAACGCGAGGAGCGCGAGCGGGTGTTCCATTGCTCGGGTCCTCGGGACAAGTGTGTTTCGGCGTCTCGCCGCAGCGGGGTGCCCGTCGCGTGGCTCTCCTAAAGCCCCTTCATGTTTCAAAAGTAGCGCAAGGTGTGTAGATGCACGAGGCACGTGCAACGTGCTGCCCTTGGGAAGATCATGGCGGCACAGCGCAGCACTGAGCTAGATTTCAGACGCCACGTTGTTCCCAGAAGTGGCGCGCAGTACGTGTATGGAGTATTTCCACAACAATGAATGGCGCACTTTTCCCAGGATAGAGGGGCTTTACTCATCTGTTGTCTGTCGCTATACGTTTTCGATTTTGGCGGCCGCTTCTCGTGGTGATCTGCCAGGCTTTGTCAGTATACACTCCGTGCGACGCGACCGGCGCGCCGCTGCGCGGCCGTTACCGAAGACTGGCAGTGAGAGCCCCAGCGAAACGAAACCACGCCGCGTACGTTGGTACGCATTGAAGTCGGAGCGGTGCAGTTGCGCTGGGTTGACAGCATGAACTACTGCGTCGTTGAGTGCTCCAATAGTTATGCGTCGTATCTCATGGGGACGAAGTTTCACAGTTTTTCACCTCGCCGCTGTTTTGTGGGACAGCGACAACGATATGGACCCGTGCCGTACGACGCAAGAAATTTGGTCTCCCGATCATGTTTGCCACTGTGTCGGCACGGCTGAGATATTCTGCACTGCCGCTTTGCGCTCTGCGTTTGTTTTCGTACTAGTAACGCCTACATATCTCAGCTCGAACTGAAATGCCATCCCACACTCGCGGGTATGCAGTGCGAATTTCGTTAAAGAAATGTCCTCCAAAGAAGTTTCGTCCCCATCGTACGTGTCGATGATATTTCCGAACCAGTATGGCACGCAGTCTGTACTTCATGAAGAAAGATTCAGACGGTACAAAGAATGACAAATATGAATCTAAGGGGAACTACAATGAAACTTAAAAACACTGGACAATTGATGTTTGAGTTCGGAAGTTTATGTGGTGTGCTTTCTTTTTTGATCAGCCTCCTTTTGGATGGGGAGCGCCGACACACCGAGTCTTGTAGACAACAATTTTTTTTCTCTGCTTTAGAGCCACCTATGGCAAAGTTGTTCGAACTGGAAGTACCGTCCACTGGTCCCTTTCGACCTGTAAAGTGTGCACCTCCCGGCCATTATGAGTGGTATTCTCTTGACAGTCTTTGACGGTCAAAACCGGCTCCCATTTAGTTACGCCACCCAAAAGTATTTCCATCTGGTTAACCTATGCCACCTCTTTTAGATATAATAAGTGTTTTGTAAAGTTACGGTTGTCAAAGTATGTGTGTGCCGAAGATCAGCACCTCGCACAACCAGATTACTACACAACAGCTGACCGCAAAAGTCTTTGACGGCAAAACCGTGTGTTGGCCGGCAACTTGGTTTTCTCGGCTTTGAAAACGCTTTTCGTAACGTTGTTTCAATTGAAAGTGCAGTGCACTAGTCCCTTTCTACCTGTAAAGTCTCCATCTCCCACGACGAGTGGTATTCAATCAATCAATCAATCATTTTATTTTTTCAAGTCAAATACAAATTCGACTTGAACGGTCCGCTGGCACAAAAGGCAAACAGGTTGCCTGACGAGGTGCCAGCGGCCGGTAAGGACGGCAAAATCCGGCGGCAAATACAGAAAAAGCAAAAAAAAAAAAAAAAGAATCCGCGCATGCAGAAACCCACAGTAACACAACATCGTGATAACACCCAGACATCATACAAGGCAAAAAAAAAAAATACATATGCGTACAAACAACACCAGGAAGCACAATAAATCACACCGCCCGCCATTAGACATTGTTAGGGAGTGATAGAGAAGAAACACAATTTGTAAATAAGACAGCAAAAAAAAAAAAAGGCCTATAAAGTATACTATGTAAAAATGAGTATACGCATGAATTACATAGTACAAGGTACATAGTGTAAAAAATAAGTATAATGCTTGTGTATGGAAAGCATTCCACGATTAAAAAGTACCATATATTTTACGGTCGTCAGTCAAAAAGACAATCTAAAACAGTGACAAATAAAAAATGGTCAGGAAAAAAACTCCTTTCCCATAATTCACCTTTAAAACAATAAAAACATATGCAGGCAAAAGTATTCTCTTTAAAGCCCTTTTACGATCAAAACCGTTTCCCATTCAGTTACGCCGCCCAAACCAAATTTCCACCTGGTTTCCCTATGTCACCTATTTTTGGTATTATAACCATTGTGTCAAGTTACGGTCATGTCCAAGAACCTGTCTGTCTAAATCTGCACTTCGCACAGCCCGGTTATAACACAACATTTTGGGTCTAATATTGGATATTTCTGACAGCTTTATTCCTTTATTCATTCGAACCATAACTTTCACACCTGCTGTCTTAATAAAACTTGGCCCACTTAGTGCACAAATTTAGTGAACATCACGCTCGCCTCCAAATATCATCACCACAGCAGTCCTACGTTTACAGCGACGAGCAAAACAAATTTCCCACTAAGAGCAATTATGGTGGCGGCCGTCTTGCTTTTCGGAAACCCCTTTTTCGACCGCAACTAAAGAAATTACTCCTAATAATGACTCAAACTCAATATATAAGAAGCGGAGAACAGCTAAATGCCCTTCCTCGATCTGCCCCAGCACCCATGCAACGTCATCCTCAACTTATCGGCTCAAAAAGCAAAAGTTCCGTCCGTGCGCGTTTCCGCCACCACAGCTTCGCACGCAAAAAGGCACCGCAGGCTGCTGAGCGCGCCTCACTGTCGAACGCCAGCTCCTCCGCTAGCGGCGCTACGCGCGTTTTTCAAAGCGCCCCCTATAGTTCCCGCACGGAGTGTATAGAGGAGGCTATGGTGCCGCTCACTGCGCTCGTGTGATGGCTTTGCCAGTGCTTTATTCACACAGACTGAGCTGAAACGCTGGTTCTAGGAAGCCCGCCCTGGATTTTACAAAGCGAGCTTTTAAATTCCGTGTTCCGAGCTGCAGCTATAGGCTCCTTGCACTGACGTCACATCGCACACATTTGAACACCAAGTAAAAGCAGGAGAGGGAAGCTGCTTTTGTAAAAATTTTGAGTGACAGGTTCATCTTCTATAATCTTCTGGGAGGAGAATGCGACGCGTGTGCAAATCCGGGACGCACAAAGGAGGATCCTAATAAGAGGGGAGCTCCCTTTTGCCCTCTTCTCTGGAGGGCAACGGAAATGACGTCCTGTGCAAGCCACGTATACGTGGCTTGCACAGGACGTCGTTTCCGTTGCTCTCCAGAGAAGAGGGGAAGAAGGAATTCCCCTCTTATCAGGATCCTCCTTTGTGCCACCCGGATTTGCACAGGCGTCGCCATTCTCCTCCCAGAAGATTATAGAAGATTAACATGTCATTTAAAATTCTTACAAAAGCAAATTCCCTCTCCTCCTCTTACTTGGTGTTCAAATGTGTGTGACGTGACGTCAGTGCAAGGAGCCTTATAGGCTTCTTGCACTGACGTCACATCGTACACTTTTGAACACCAAGTAAGAGGAGGAGAGGGAAGCTGCTTTTGTAAGAATTTTGAGTGGCGGGTTAATCTTCTATAATCTTCTGGGGGGAGAATAGCGACGCCTGCACAAATCCGGGAGGCACAAAGGAGGATCCTGATAAGAGGGAAGCTCCTTCTTCCCCTCTTCTTTGGAGGGCAACGGAAGTGACGTCCTGTGCAAGGAGCCTATAGGCTCCTTGCACTGACGTCACGTCGCGCGACTACTATTTCCTACTTTTGATTGTCCTAAATTTGACCCTTACCATCCCAAAATATTAATAAAAAAAGAGAAAAAAAAAGCGCTTGAATGTAACCAAACACATTGTTTGCTTTCACTTTTTCCAGGTTGCTTCCAATTTCTGACTGAACTGACTACAGGATTTTCGCCGTGAAACAGCTAGGTAAGTTTGTAAGCAGCAAATTTTAAAATGTTTTTTTTTTGTTATTGATGTTATTTAGGGACAAAGCTAGTTCCTCTGTACCTTCGATACGATGCTCAAATAATATCCTCGCTATTTAGTTGTGACTTGTAAAGACGCGCGGAGCAGATGTCTTGAGTTCTTATTTGCACACCTTTCTGGCGGTCACAAACAACAAGTTGCATGATGCCGCAGCAGCAAAATAACGATGGTAATATTTAAATACGATGTCTCAATAACCGAGAAAAAACAATCGTGATTAAGTTGCGAGCGAACGCCGTGGAAGGGAGCCTGGAGGGCTCACTAAAATGCACATTCAGAAGTAAAGTATGTTAAATTATGTAGTCACTCACAAGATGAGAACGGCGAAGAGGCCCTTCGGCAGCCCCGTTTCCAGTGCGAGCTACCTTCGATACATCTTCGGCATACATCGTGAACCTCGAGCGTGCACGCGCAGCCTAAGCACAACGGAAGGCGGCAACGAGCCTGTGCTTGCGGGCGGCAGTGTTGGCGGTTACGCATTACGAGTGATGGCGTTACCACTGCTTTTTTCGGCGACGTAGTTGCGTACTCGCTAACTGTTCAAGACAGTAACGAATAACGTACTTCCGATATTTATTTCGAGTAATGGTTTACGTAGCTACGGTACTCGTTACTTGTTCTTCCCAAAACTTCAGATTCAGTATAAAACCCCATTTTTATGGCGTTTCTAGTCGGCAATTATCCCAAATTCTCGCACTCATCGCACATACATTCAAAATGTTGCCTATCTTTTCTCCACGCAAACACTCCCCGTATTTTTTTTTTTTTTTAATATAGCTTTTAAGCATTTTGGTAACGCGAAAACAGTAAAACGTTTTAATTTATACATAAAAAGTAACGCAAAAGTAGCCTGCGCTACTTTTGATTTTTAACGGTAGCGGTAACGCGTTTCTGTTATTTTAAGGTAACGTAGGTCGGTAACGCGTGTCTTGTATTTGCAAGTAACAAGTTTCGTATTTCGTGACCCTTGTAACGCCTACAGCACTCGCAGCCGAGCATCGGGAAAAAATGCCCTGACGTTCTGATCCTGTCCGTTCGAACGTTACTGACAGTTTGATTACAAAACTTGTTCCTCCTTTAAAAAAAATAAAGTAATATTTTGAAATGTTATATTTCATTGTCCGACTCCCTAACACTAAACCCAAACGCCAGAAACTTTTTTTTTAAATTTGTTTATTTAGGCCGCGGGCAGTAGGAAATGGCGTCAATCTACAACCAGATCTTTCTATAAGATATCATGAATTGTTGCTTTCCACTCTCTAAACGCAACGTTTCAAGCAGCTCGGGCAATCGCACGCAGAGCCAGAAGTTACCGGTAATTCGAGAAAGAATAAAGTCCACCCATTTCCGTTTTATTATCCAATTGCGTGCGCCATATAGCTGCGCATATCAAAGGGTGTCTGTGTCAATCGGATTGACCGAAAGTATAACTTCCCACGCGACGACGTAATACGTGCGTGTCCAGGCGTGTAAAAGTCTACGAATGACTTTGGCGCTTTTACGTGTTTTTTTCTTTTGTTCTAAGAAAAGAACTAACTTGGGACTTTTCTTTTTTGTCCGCACGTGTCCGTTTTGTTACGGGCGCTCGTATAAAATCTCACTTTACGAGGCCACGTGGATCGAGCGCCGTGTCTTTATAGCCGCGTGCTAGCCAAAGGGGCTGTCCTAGAGAGCCTATAATTCGAAGAGTTGCCAACTGCGCGATCACCCCGGAGTCACGTGGTTTATGGGCCGCGTTTGCAACACGAGCTACGAGGGGGTGACGAAAGCGTTGGTCATCTGGGAGCGCCTCTGCCTTTCCGCCCGCTCTGCTCCTCGCCACCCGACAACGCAACGCATGCGCACTTGCGACCAATGCGCGCTGGAAGCGTCCGCCATTATATTGCAAACGCTTTCCTTGACTTAAGTTGTTCCCTCTCTTAAACCTAGTCTCTCCCGTTCGTTATGACCCACCTATCCCGTGATGCCGTAACACAAACGGAGAAGCAAATTACCTCCTCAAACTCGATAAATGCTCCTTTCCTTATCCCCCTTCTAAAATAGAAAAAAAGAAAAATGATAAATATAATTTTTTTATCGTGTCTTTTTTTTTTTATGCTGTCCTTTTTGCATTTCTTTCTACGGCCATCGTCAGTGTTTGCTAACGAAACAGGACCATCCGAATTCGGAGCCGGGAGAACATGCTCCCACGTGAATCCGCAAATGCGGAAACGAAGTTTCTCGGAGGTTGGTACAGACGAGAAAAAAAATACGAATCAACATATATTGGGCTACGAGTCGTTCGAAGCCGCCGCCACATACCGCAGGTTACACGGCTGACTGCTGCCTCTGCGTGTATCTCCGTTTTTGTGTACACGTGTATGCGTGCGTGTGTGTGCGTTTGTGCGTAAATGTGCGCGTGTGTCTGTCTGCTTGCGCGCATCCGTGTGTGGCTGAGTGCGTGTGTTGTGCGCATGTTCGTTCTTGCACTCACTCTCTTTTCATGCTTTCCTTGGCTATTTCTCCTAACCCCGCAGGAATCACTCTGAATACACTCTGACATGATAATGCAAGTAATGCACAGGTGCAAGCGAGCTGGACAAGAATAACGATTATAATCCCGGAGAAGGGAAAGAGGGCCAAATACAGCTAGGGGACTGGTGTGCGACCGAAATAACTCCGCCTGGTTTTGTTACCAAACCAGGGACCTCTTCATTTCCAGGGGAACGCCCTTCCAACTGAGCTAACCAGGAGTTCGACGTCAGTAGAGGAAACTGGTTTTAACAGCTGCCACCAGTCTAACACCAACATAGGTGAACGTCCTGTATTTTAAGGTAAGGATGATAATGCAATGAATGCAGAGGTACGAGCGAGCTGGACAAAAATACCGACACTCTAGGAAACGTATTATAGAGTTAACAAAACGGCGGCTCTGGGCTTTATTAAAAATACGTTTTACCAGAACCTTCATCAGTTTGGAGAAACTAAGACTAACGGCAACACATGCGCCCGATAAATTTACACAACTAACATTCCACCTCCGCTTACTCTCTGAAAATTATCGGCGCATTACGTTATCGTTAACGAATTTATAAGGCTAGACCAGAGAGCTCGATAAAGTGGTAGACGAGTGCATTTTGGCGTCGCCGCACGCGAGCATATGCGCGCGTGGTGAGGACCAAACTAATTGGCTGGAGTGCTACTGTTTCTAAACGTTCTAATCGCCAGTGACCGATAAACGATTTTTAGAGCTTGTAGTAATTATGTTTGAGGTCAGCTGCGCCGTTTCACTATGCTAACAAGCTGCCAACACCGATCGCACACTCGTCAATGCGCCGAGAAAGTGAGGGAAAGGAGACGAGCGCTCGCGTGGACGTCAGAACGCCGAGCTCTGCTTGGAATGATTTCTGGGTCAAGCTACTTTTGTCCCCAGTGCACTCGTCGAACGCCATGAAACGCGGAATACAAGGGTCCGGCGTTTGGCTCTTGCATAGGGCTCCAGCGCTGAAGCTTTGAACAAAGTGTGGCACCCACATGTTGGGTAGTGAAAGCTCACCTGATTTAGCCTCCCGCTATTGATGAGAATTTCGCTGAGCTTTTATTCTTTCTCTTTAGTGCTGAAAAACGGTAAAAAGAACTTTTTACGTTTGCAATTTGTTATATTTAACGCCGCAATGCGTTTGAAAGCGCCAGATGCATGCCACCACCACTTGTGTACGCCTATTTTATATCTGGGTAATAACGTCAAAATATTTAGCATCCAATTTTTTTTTTTGGAACGCGTGGATCGGCGTCTTAATTGGCTCACGCTTTTAGCGTCTTAACTTTGACCTATGCTAAGACGGTGTTCGAATTTTTGTTGTTCCTTTCTGTTTTTCTTGTGATCATGTTCCGCACAAAGAGAAGCCGCGCTTCTACATCTGTGTCTCTCTGAGACGCTCAGGTTTGTACTCCCCAAAACAAGTCCTAACAAGTCATTTTTCGCAGCGCCCCCTGGGCATCACAGGCGGCCGATTCGAACGCGTCCGACGAGTGCAGCAGAGACAAATGCAGCTAGCGTTAGGTGCACCCACTACTCATTCGAACCACAGCATGAAGTTCTAACGTTCCCTCTCGTGTTCCCCTCTCCCTCACCTTCTCGGCGTATGGCAACATTTTATAAGCATGCCCGGACATTTCCAACTGGCAACAAAAGGAGCACGTGAATGTGGGTAATAATACTGCAAAAAATTGCGCCGGCCTCCGAGAGAATTAAGAAAAATTACAGGCGTTGACGCTTCTCAGTTATGCGAAGTTAGAGCGCCGCTCTTGACGTATGTTGATCTTTGTGATATAACGGGGTAGAGAATTTGAGAGAGAAATATAGGTATATATATATCAATAATTTTTTGTTTGTTTGAGAATGGGCCAGGGAGGGCGAGGAGGGTACGGTGGTAGTCCCATAATGCAACACGCGCTGTGTTTGTTTTATCGTGAAACGTTTTTGTCTAGCTGCTCCGGACTTCGCGAAGCCTCATCTCGTGCAGCCATGGCCTGTGACGTCACTTGGCGTCACAGTTTTCCCGCCAAATTTAGCTAGAAAATTACGCCACGTGACCTCAGCACTAATTCAGTTTCCCTGCTAAGTTTGGAGTGGAAAATGGCGTCGCATGCCATCATGTCAAGTCAACTATGAAGAAATTCAGTTGACGCGACATGACCGTGACCTCAACAACAATTCACGTTCCGCGCTAAGTTCAGCGGGAAAAGTAATGTCACATGATTTCATGTCGACTGGCCTACACATAGTGTCGGTTACCCCGCGAAATTTAGCGGGAAAACTGACGTCACTCGATCTCACCATCAATTTAATTCCTCACTAAATTTAGCGATGAAACTGAATTGGTGTTGAGGTCCTGTGTCATCAGTTTCGTATCTAAATTTCGCGGGGAAACTGAATGCGCAGTGTTGCATTATGGGAT